CTCGCAGCTACTGCCTGGTGCAAACTGTAAACTGAGTTCAGGAACTTGCTTGGGGTTCGAGGTCCAGCACCGTGGCTCTGCTGCTGCATTTCAACCCTTATAGTTAGAAAGATCATGGAACAAAGAATTTAGCCGCTAGTCACATTCAATTTATATCCATTAGCAAGCCAGCAAAGCAAAATGCAATCGAGAGGCCAAGGTCTAGGTAGATGAATCAAATCGCTGAAACAATCCCGCACCTTAATCCCGAAGTCACAAGCCCGGCATAAGCCACAAAACCTTGTAGCATGCCAAGGGTACCGGAGTAGTTGTTCGAAGTGGGAGCAGTTTCAAGCCACAACGAGCCGCCACTTTCATGGGAAAAGCCTCTGCTGAGGGTGCCGGGGTTTGGATTCGGGAGAGGTTCGGGGCATCGTCACATAGGGTTTATGTGGGGTTTTGTTGTTTACTTAGGGGCGCACAGCTCCTAGTCGGAAGTTTCAATTCTGAGATGTTGGATCTGCTCCAGTCTTCCAGTACGATCCTATCGGCGACAATTTAAGGTTTATGACCGCAGAAGGACAGGACACACTTCGGCAACCGAAGCAATGGCCAGTCAGAGTCTGATGCGTGTCAGTGACCTTGCAATGCTGGGGTATGTGTTCACTTCTTGCCGAACTCTCTGACAGGGTCTGCCGGCTGCAACTCCATGACACATATGCTGCAGAAAACTGCAGAATAGCTTAGTATGATCGTAAACCGGAATCCTCAGCACTTGTTTAGTGGCAGTTTGGCGACAAGTCGTAGAATACCGAGGTGCCAAGAATGCCAAGACCTCCAGCACACACCCCTCAGGCCCTAGAAACCAAGACACAGAATTACGACGACCAATTTTAATCGAGCGGCTCGCCAAGAATTCTGTTTTGGCGATCTTCCCAGTAGCCAGCTATAGTGTATGCTAGAGCCCAAGCGTTCCAGTCTACATCTCTCTCAAACTCATGGCGCATACAGGACACCTCCTTAGGGACTGCCCTGGTGACGGTGGCAACCTACCTCTAGACTCTAGACTTAGACACCAGTCAAAATGTGGTCTCTGGCACTTCGCAAAAACAAGCTCCTGCAATCTTCTCACCATCGTGTTCTGACGGCCAGAGCACCGGTGGCTCCGACCGTTTGTCATGTCGATCAACCCCAACCTCGCCACCTTCAGCGGCGTCAGCGTGGAGATTTCGAAGACAAGCTGATTTCAAGACCTATACTTTCGGCCCTGGACTTGAGATCAATTTGCGATCACGGAATCCCTGCAGCGTGGGATTCGGGCATAAACCCTCCCTCTGCCCGACGTAGGCGGGGCGAAGGGACGCGCATGAGAAAGAAATGCGAAGGATCTCCTTCGGTATCCTTCATGACTTAGCCTCTAGACCAAATCCAAGAACCGGATAGCTCATGCTGTTTGTTAACAACTGCTAAAACAGTATATCATGAAGCACGGACATAAACTTGCACAGCATCGTCTCTCTGCTGCTCTGCCTACTGACAGGAAATCAAAGCAGCAGGAAACACCTTTGCTGTGACGGAAGTCCATTCAACCCGAGAGCACTGTGGTGTCACTGGGCACTTGCCCGTGTGAACACTGAACCAAGCTTTGGTTGACCCATACACCAGTTCTCAAGGTCGGACTTGTCTTTTGTATAAAATGAAAACTCCAGAAACGGCACATGTGCGAGGAAACTGTACAATCTTCGCCCCTGTGAAGCAGTCTCGAATACAAGTTCAAGCCGAGCGTCCTGTGTCTTGTCCTTCCACTGGGCGTGCTGCGTACAAACAAGTCGCGCTCCCGTGATTTGAGTAGCTCCAAACCCCCTGCAAATTTCACCCCAGAAACAAGGCAGGAGGCTGTCAGCCTTGACGAAGAGACTTGCTATCCGAGAGCACGCAGTAGATGGCCTCTTCTTTAGCATCTTTTGAGCATCGTATGCAAGGGCTTAAATGCCCGGTACAGCTATCTGGGAGTATGGGCTTCGGAAGGGCCATCTCACCTGCTATGCCGGCAAAAAACTCAATCATTAGTTGGAACTGAGAAGTGCTGTGGTCAAACTTCGTCTGCCAGTGTCCCTCTCTTGGCTGCTTGCTTGTCCTTGTCGCCAGCTTGGCCGTGGACGCGATCTTTGGCCCACTGGCAGTATGCTATGGTACAACAGCAGCAGACCAAGGCGCCCCCAACACTTGTGTAGATAGCCGTCGTCCATGGGAAACTCTCGGGTGCTTCCACGTCCTGCCCAGCAGCTCGCTGTCAAAGCTAGGTTCCTTCAAAATTAAACCGATTTGTACTGTGAAAGAAACTGCCGCCCGGACTCGAGAACCCCAAAACAACCCAACCCGTGCCATCTAAACTCTGCGCCGAAATCTCAACACTTGGACCAACTGGATTCTTCTGAGCCGCCTCCATGCCATAAAGCGGCACTGCGACCTGGATCTCGGAGATTACTCCAGCCATCGCATTCTCGACTCTCCAAGTGTCCTGCTTCGCGAAAACTGCGAGTTGCAACAAAGCATACAGAGACCCTGTCTGACAGCTCTGCCCAAACGTGCTAGTCGTCTAAACGTCAGCAGCCAGCTGGCGGAGTATCTAGGCCTACTATAGTGGTGTCCTCAATGCCGCGTTCAACATTAAGCTCGGCTTCGGGCTACTTGTATCATGCTTGTGTGGCGACAAGGTGCCATGGCACCAGTGCTACAGTCAACACCTTGAGTTCTGAGTACTCCGACGACCCCGGCCCTAAGGGCGATTCCAATGTCAGTTTCCTCAACAAGGCAAGTGTGTATCAACTGAGGCCCAGCTTTAATAGCACCCATCCGGAACAGCCAAACAGCCCCAAAAACTGAAATGGCCCAAAGCATAACCCACACACTGCATCAGCTACGATCCCCGGCTGGAAAACCGACTATTGAACTACAAAAACTACATATTCTTTACAAGTTGGATATATATATACACATCAGTTACTACGATCGCAGACGTTCGGTGCCCTCACTGAACAGACTATCGGCGATCGCACCTTTTTCATGCGACCGCAACGTGGGAGTCGGCCACAGTCGGATCATCAAAATTTCACTTGATCTTCACAAGTCCGATCGGACCCCCGATCGCCGAGGGGTGCGCCATGGCATTCACCACAGACCGCAACATCATCCGATCGGACACATCAGACAAGCGATATTCCCCGCGAGCAAAATTAAAAGTCTTCGATCGGATCATCGGGCTCCGGCGACGGCTCCTCGCTCGGCGGCACGAAAAGCTGCATCAGGAGTAGCTTTGGCTTTCGTCCGAGCGGGAGTAGCGCGAGAAGCCTGGTACGCCGCGATCTGGGCGGGAGTCGGGGGCGCCTTGATCGGCGGACTCGAGCTCCTCGTAGGCACCATGATCTCGGTGCCGGGAGGGAGCTGCGTACCGGGCGGGAGCTGATCTAGCCGCCGCGGGGGCTGCCCCGGAATGACAGAGTGAGCCGGTCCGCTGATGCGGACGTCATCGGGCACCGCGTCGAGCGATCTGGGGGGCTGCCCTGGAACTATGTACTGAGCAGGCTCGGCGAACAAAGAAGAACGCCCTTTCGGAGCCGCTCGGCCTTGGCGCGGCAGACCAGCCTTGGGATCCACATAGTAGACCGGCTGATCCATGCCTCTGTTTTGATGAGCTCTGGCCGGGGGCGCTTTGGGCACCGGCCGCTGAACAGAGGGCACGCCCATCACTTGATCCCAGTTGAGGGGAGGATCTGCCCCGTGATCGTAGCCGGCCGGCTGGTGACGATCGCGATCACGATGAGCCGGCGGCGTGACCCAGGGGGTCTTTCGGCAGAAATGACACATATCCAGGCGACGATCGCAAGCCGTGCACAAAGGAGTGCGCTGGTTGGGGGCCCACTCTTCGCGGGGGACCCGAACGGCTGCGTAACATTCGTCTTGGCCGTCCCCGTCGCAGAAGCAGCCGGTGAACAGGCCGCAATCCACGCAGGGACGGCAGAGCTGATCTGTGTCGCCGAAAGCGAGCGCTTGAAGGCCAACGTCGTTGCGAGGATCCCGCATACCGAAAAGAACAGATAGGGTGGAGAGGGTGGGATTTTTCGGTATGGCCCGATCGGCTATCGCCAAAATGGCCACGGAGAAGATAGATCAAGTCTGTTCCAACGATCGCGAAACTGATCTCCTAATTCCTACCCACCAGACCGATAATTAGGAGACCAGTTACTACGATCGCAGACGTTCGGTGCCCTCACTGAACAGACTATCGGCGATCGCACCTTTTTCATGCGACCGCAACGTGGGAGTCGGCCACAGTCGGATCATCAAAATTTCACTTGATCTTCACAAGTCCGATCGGACCCCCGATCGCCGAGGGGTGCGCCATGGCATTCGCCACAGACCGCAACATCATCCGATCGGACACATCAGACAAGCGATATTCCCAGGCCCTCAAACTCCTTTCGGAAAGTCCGAGAGGACAGTGATCCAACCACACATCAGACCTGTAGCGACATCACCACGAGAGGGATTATCCGCCGGGTTCGAATCGGTCGGTACCCGATCGATATAAACAGAGCACCTAAGCTCCAGAACAAGCTCCCAGAAAATTCCTACGAGCTCGCAGACGTCCTCTTTTGCAGAGTAGCCTTTGATCAAAGCTGCCTCTACAGGCTCGGAATCGATAAAGAGGAGGACCAGCTTTCCACGGATCTCTTCCCTGAAAGTCTGTATCGCAGCGACCGCGGCCAAAAGTTCGATCATGCAAATTTGGGTTTTCCGGGGGAACCACCTCGACATGATCTGCCGTGACACCCCCGAGGCGAATTGCCTAGGCTGATCGTCCCTAGTGAACATCACTCCTCCAATCATCTCAGAAGAGGGATCCTTGGGGTTCGAGCTCGGCGCCGATCCATCCGTGAAAATCACCACGTCGGACTTCCGCGGCCCCGAACTGGGGATAGGCCTCGGAGGCCCATGCATCACGAGCGTCCGCCACTTGTAGAGGGAGTAGAGGAGAGCAGGCGATAGGCTCGTACTGACCGTCTTCCGGGAGTATTGCCTCTCCGACAGAGATCTCAGGAAGGCTCGGCCGATCTTCCCCCAGAGCTGCGAAGCGCCGAACATCAGCTTTCCTCTGAGCTTCCCGGCTTGGCCGGGAGACAGCTCTTCGTGTTCCAGGATCGACGAGATCTCGTCGAAGAGCTCCTGCTTCCTGGACTTCTTGATCTTGAGCAAGTACTGATCGAGGTCATAGGTCACGCCCAGGATCGTGGGATCCGAGCAGAGCTGGAGCTTCTGCTGATCGAACCGGGCCCCGAGCCACCAATGGACCTTCTCGGCCAGCGCGAACGCACTATCTGCCGTGGCCTCCGGCTCGAAGCCGTACTTGTCGTCATAGAAGTTGAAGCCGGCCACGATGAACACGCGCCTTAGAATGTCGGTAATCGCAGCCGAGCGGCGGTTGTAGTTATAGACGGCCGAGACCAAGCCGAAGGAGTGGCCGACCATCACGAAGAACGCCACCTTTCCCGTGGCCGGATCCTTCAGAGCGACCACACTCCACTTGCGATGGGCCGGAGAGATCGGCACCTGCCGATAGGCTCGCCGCTCGTCCAGGACCCAACCACGTAGCGGGGACTTCGGCAGCCGCGAGCGCAGCCACTTGATCACCGCCACGTTCGCGTCCGTCGAGGGGAGTTCGAGTTTCTCGGTGACGATCGTCGCCATGTTGATCCCATTTGAGGTAGCACTGTCAACTCCCCTGACTTTGTTCTTTTGAACCACTTCAAAGCGCTGAGTAGGGATCCAATGATCATCGCCGACGAACTCCGAGACTTCGGCCTCGTCGAAGAAGGGACCGATCGCCGACCCTTCTCGAACATCTTCCATGGTCCCTTCCCAGACCTTGGGAGAGTGCTCGGTGATCGGAGATTTCCGAATCGCGCCTAACACCTTCGATCGAAATTCCCAGGCCCTCGAGCGAAGGGCATCAACCGAGAGATGCTCCGCATGAGGTTTGCGATCGGGCTTCCATCGGTGGGAGGAGGCAATATCGCCGACGATCGGCATGCCCGCCATGATCTGATCTACCAGGTCAGTGTCACTGCATTTGGCCTCATTCATGAGCTCCCGCCAAAGGGCGACGTGGAAGAACTGACCCATTTCCAGTGGACGATCGTCGGGGCCGCCGCGAAGAAGACGGCGCAAATGCCGATCTGGTATCTGCTTGAGTCAGAGGACGGGAGCAGATCCTGAGCTCGCCGTTCCCAATGCTGCAGAAGAGAGGCTCGACGATCGCGCACTTGAGCAGGATCACGAACAATTTGCTCAAGAACATCAAGGAGGTCTGGGTCGATATCCGCGTCCTTTGTGAACGGGTGTGTAGCTTCCAAGGCGAAAGCGATCGCTTCACCCGGGTGCATCTCCGTGCCGATCAGCGGAGCCACCACAGACTTCTTCATCTGGTAACCCGCGGCGACGGCCTTCTTGCCGGCCGATCGTTGACGATGTTCCGCGGCTTTGACCGGGGCGCCATGGGGCCGCTTCCGATCGGAGTCCGGGGTCTCGAGCGCAAAAGTGAGAGTTTGCCAGGACTGATCCACGTGATCACCTGTGTTCACCGGCGCCGGCTTGAAGCCCAACTGAAGGAGTTGCTCGAACTCGTCGGCAGGGATCCGATCGACCCCCTGCACTGAGTACACTGCGAGGACCACCCGAGTTCCGATCCAGGGCAGAGTCGCGTGCAGAGCTTCCTTAGCGTTGAAGAGGATCGCATTGTCGACGAAGTCGGTGTTGAAACCGGGGGTGGAGCGTCCCTCGATTTCTCTCACATCGGGCCCGAGCGGGTCTTCGATCCAGAGCCCGCCTCCTTCAAACGACCCGAGCTTGAAGACAATGTTCGGGATCGGCTCATTGCCCGAGTCACGGTGAGGTTCGGCCTCCTGATCGTAGAGGACGGCGAACGACGTGAAGAGCGCCTCAGGAGCCTGTTGAGCGATGTACGTGGTGATCGCCTTGATCGACCACGGCCATGAGTGACAGGACGATCGCAGTCTTGTGATGCCTCCATGGCGATAGGCTCCCGCGAAGAAAGCCCCGCCTCGTTCGTCGGCAGCCTTATGCTGACCCTGACCCAATAGACCCGGTTAGACAAAAAATTGCAGTCTCTTCGATCCTTGTAAATCTATATATTTCTACGATTTCGTCAAAGTGTTTCGGCAACTTGTTTTGCCGAAAATAGTTTAATCGTGAAACGCCAATTAGACGAATCGGTGGCACGAATTAGATTAAAATCGTTTTGACGATTTCGTCAAGATTTGCCGATTTCGACAAAGCTCGTTTTGACTATTTCGGCAAGATTTGCCGAAATAGTTAAGTCGGCGGCGGCCCAAACTGCTATCAAACTGCTTCACTCAACGGCTGAAACTGCTACACCTGTTTTGTGTGGTTTTGATGGCACATTTTTCAGTATATACGGAGAAGAACATTTCGAACTGTTCG